AATGTTAAATTGTGTTTCGATGTTTGTACATGTGATCAAGTATGCCGTCTCAGTGGTACTTCCTGTGCCCCCCCCCCCCGTCTCTCACCCCCCTATCTCACATTCACTTACCTTCTCTCTCCATTTCGTAATTTCCTGCTTCACTGCCTCTGCAGTCTCTCTCTCTCTCAGACACATACACACCTAGACACATACTCACACACAGAAAAATGCACTCTGTCCCATCATTGCGCTCACCTGAAGTAACACCACATCCTTCTTAATGTGCCAGCAATTTCTAAACTCTTCCTTCCACTTCTCTTTTGTGTGACCCTCACATCACAGACTCACCCAATCTATTATCTACTAAACTATCTTCCAATCACTTCCTCTGCCTCTAATAAAAACACAAGTCAAACACACAGACAAATACAGCTAAGATGATTAAGACATGCCAACAGTACAATTTAATCAAATCCCAATCCAGTCTCCCAGAGTAGCGTTACAGGCCGATCTAAAAATTGCAAGTAACCTGCGGTTCACGCGAAGAGATACAGAATAAAAGTTTGAAGAGAGAAAAGGATGATTAGCTGAGCGTGCCCTGACCATACTGGGTGGTGTCTATCAAGTGCAGTGAAGCGCTCCCACCAAGCCCACTCTAGGCGGGAGAGGAAGGCAATTTATGTCCGTCAAAGAGCTGGCCTCCACCTAGGGGACAGGATGCGGTGAGAACCGAGAGCTATGGCCTGCATCCTAAACAACTTCATGTGCCCTGCACTCAACGTAAGACCCGAAAACAGTTCTTCCCGAGAAGGCCCGATTGTTGAATGTCAATGTGCCAGCAGTGCTGATTCCTAAAAACTGTCAGATAAGTTCACTCAGCTCGTCTGTCTCAGTAAAGAACACATCTTTCAGTTTTAAAGTTTTACGTACTGGGAAAACATTTAAAATAATCTGGTCCTTAGTGGATCTAAAATTTGGGTAAATAAAACCTCAGATGAGCAACATTAAGTGATCTTCCACTGTTTCATTTAAAAAAACAAAAAAACAAAACCAAACAGCAGAATCAGTGTGTGAAAAACTAAGCACAGCCTTACAAAACCACAGGAATTAAGAGCGTAAGTAGCAGCCAGATGCTGCTAATCAAATGCACTTGATTAAGCAGAAATTTTGGTAGCTTGCTGGTCTGGAGCATTCAGATGTGTGTTAACACAATGCCAAGGTGGGAAGACATCAGCAGTGATCTTAGAGAAGCAACTGCATCGTGTTTTAATGTTTGAGCAAGAATACCTTACAGTGGAGTAGACCTTGTTTTAATAGCCAAGTCATTAACATAGTAGTATCAGCTATGTAGTTAGTTAAGTTTTTAATTAGTGTTTACAGGTTCCTACAAACAGACAGCTTTTTTATATTCCTCGTGGATAATAGCTTCAGCTGTAGGCAGATTACCACAGTCCTTGACAGCAGTGTCACATTATCGGTGTCGTAAATGCTTCATGTGAAGCAGAGGTGAAAAACATCAGTGTTCAGGTTGCCAGTGTGTCTGAATTAGCAGATAATAAAAGTTCCTGCTATTGACGTTGATAAGTAGTATCAGTTCTTATATAAGACTTATCCTAATTGTTGACTCTTCCTAGAGAAGGCTGACTGTAACAGAGAGCACCCTGCTATACAGAGTGGCATATGGATTCTTACAGCCAAACACTTTCAAAATGCTTTATCTGTCTGAACTAGACAACTAGTGTATGAAACATTATTTTTAAAATGTCAATTTCACTTTGAATTACAGAACAGGCAGTTGTGAGTATTTCCAAGCAGCATTCCCATCAATCAGGCTACTTAAAAAAATGCCCTTGCCTGTTAGAATTTAAAAATTGATGCCTTAGCCATCCCTCTTGAGGAAAAACAATGACAGTAATATTACATTTGAGTAGTTGCTGTGATGAAGCAGTCAATAAGAAATCAAATAAATTTAAAAAAGAAAAAAAATCCGAGCAACGCTGTTTGAAACCCAGGAACGCTATCTGCTCCCGTCAGTCTAATACAGTACACTTGAAAAAGACTTATCTGTGATTTACTTGATCACAATTCCTGCACTGAAAATTCCCGACACTATCTCCAGGCAAAATCAGAAGAAAAAGAAATCAATGCTGGCCTCTGCTGCCTAGGGTACCCTTCAGAGATCTTAGGGGATAGAAGACGATCGATCACTTCATCAATGTACTGTAACTTCAGGAGGAGGAGTATAAAGGCTCTTTTTTTTCTCTGAAGATGAGAGAAGGGGTTTTGTGGTTTGGCACACAAGGTCAGGGATAACAGTTGAATACTGATAGCTATATTAGTCTAGCAATACCCATGTTGACAGATACACATTTTCTTTAAGGTCGTTTCTTTTTCATTCACCTTAAGTGTCATGAAGTGGTAGACTTCCTGACGTACAAACAAAGAGAGCAAAAAACAGAAAGGCACACACACACATACATTAAAAATTGTGCTTTTACACTTCAATACAGCTACACTTATATACACACACTTAGCACCCCATCTTCCCCTCCCTTCTCAGGGCCAAACAAGCACTATCATCCTTCAATGTCAGCTCATCGACTGATCTGCTGCTTAAGCCCCTGCCGTGTGTCGGCATTGGTCAGATACAAAGCCACACAGGGCAATTCATCACTGAGCCCCAAACACTTAGTTTTGACAGTGTGAGAGGGGGAAAGAGAGGGAGATGCAGACGGAGAGGAGATGAAGCGAGAAGAGAGGAGCAAGAACAAAAGAGCAAAGGGAAAGGGAAGCACCAACTGAGAAAGAGGGATTCATGTGGAAAGAGGTAATGGTCTTTTTTAATCCATCAGGGTTGTCTGCAGACGACCTCTCAATCTGAAAACTGTCTTTGCCTTATGATTAAGTTAGATGGAACCCTAAAAAAAGCCACTTTTGTTCACGGGGGATAATAAAAGACACTGTGTACTGTGCCGAGAGACAGAAGAAGAAGAAGAGTGCATCTCTGACCTTCTGAGGATGGAATTCGGGAAGCATGACACAGGTGGCGCCCACCCAGAGTGGGCACAGCAGCTTGTTAACGACGCCATGAACGTGGTGGAGAGGCAAGGTGTGCAGGATGACATCATCTCTGGACCACGCCCATTCTGAAACCAGACACTGGACCTGAGGGGTGGGCCGGAGTGGGTTGTTAAGATGTCATATTGTCTTTACAATAAATTACCTCAGTCAGCTTTCACTGCTACAGACATTTGTTACAATGATCTCCCCTAAGCTGTCGTTTGGTGCACTTCCAGATGGCAAAATTGATTTTTGTAACTTATTTGAATTCTTCCCCATTGTCACAGTGCGCTATACGAGAGGAGACCAACAACAGCGAGGTTCAAATGAAAGGTTTTATCCTCAGCATACATGTTGCTGTTAGTAGCAGGAGTATCAGGATCCCTGTGTTTTAACAACCTTGATCTTGATCCCTTTTATTGTATTTGTTTTGTTTACTGCATTAAAATTGGGAAAAATAACTTTTAAAAAGGTATTTTATTAAAAATAACATAGAATTACGTGTCTGATTTACTGTATTTTTTGTGATGTTGTTTACTTGCTGAACTTTTGGCTCCCAGCTAATTGCCACCTGTCCACGTATGAGGTCCGACAAAGTCAAGAGATCCCTGTGAAACTGGTTACAGCCAAAAAGCACAATAATACTAAAAATCATTATAACCGAACCCCACTCCACTCCACTGAGGTGGCTGCTGGTGTAGAAATCTGTAAACACCTCATCAACAGTAATTTCTCCCCCTGTGCTGGGCAAACAAAACACAAAAAAGAACAACATATTCTAAAGTTTATCATCGATGCTCTGCTGCTCTTAATTAAGGGTAGCTTAAACATCAGTGCAAGTCCAACATATACAGTTAGGTCCATAAGTTCTTTGACACTGACACAATTTTATAATTTTTGTCTATTCACATCGCCACAGATGACCACAAATGAGACTGAAGTGCAGATTTTCATCTTTAAATGTAATGCAATCCCCCATTTTCAGTGACTCAAATATAAGTGGACAAACAGACATAACACCGGTGTTGAGCTTTATTAATATTAAATTCTGAAAAAAGGAAAAGCATCTAGTTTTTTAGTCTATTAACTTTACTATAAAAATGATTAGTACTTTACACTTTCCATAATTCTCTTTTTAGTTTGATTTGCTCAAAAAATTTCATTTGAACAAATCTTTTTCTTATATGATGCTTCAACGCTGAAAGGCAAAAACATTTCCTACAATCACTCTAGTAATGAAACCATCAGACTAAGGACCTGCTTAGCATTACATAGAAATGGCCACGGTCATGTAAACAATACACACACATAATTTTTAAACTATGCCACCAATAAAAGTATTATTATTTATTAATTTTGTTAAAATGTTTCAAGGACTTAAATATAGGTAAAAAAACCCCATCTAACTTCATATTCAGCTTATCTATTATTGGTTATATTGACACAAATCTCAGTGAGAACATCACAAAACTAACACATGCAGATCTATAAACTGTATCTATGATTTTCTTCTTAAATTAAAGAACTGTTTAGACACCCCCAGGAGACATATTCCCTGATTAGCATCACCCTCGTTTTTTCCCCACTGTGCTTCCTGAATAATCACTAATTTATGCCATTAAAGATCTCCTGAAGTTTTTCTGTGCAATTTTAAGTGAAACTGACCTACATGCCTGGCAGTGTGGAAAATTAAATCACTCTAAAAGGAGGCAGAACTTCACTTGAATCTGGTCGGTCTGGAAAACTGAGTGAGTGAATAATTAAGTGAGTCTGTCTGTTTTTTTTGTTTTTTTATTTTTTGAGAGGTAACGTCAGGTTTTTTTGAAAAAAAAAATGCCTGCAGTGAATGTGATCACTAAGGTGCGCTGTGTCCAACATATTGTGCATAATGGTATTTAAAGAGATGAGCATCATGAACAGTGTCAGAGTACTAAATGTCATCAGGGCAAAAAACAAAAGACGTCTCCTGGTCGTACATGGCTGCTGGCTTGTGTTATGACTCTTTGAATCATTAAATTAATTCTGACACTTGTGTACATGAGCATCGCCAACATGCATGTAGAACACTGAATCTGGTTGCCTGTACAAAATAACGTAAACAGAAATTTACCTTCACGTCTCCCCCCCTCACAGGAACTTTAATTTTCTATGAAGTCACATTGATGGCCAAAAACATCAAATGATTTAAACAGATGCACTTCTGTAGTTTAATGCCAAACAAAATTATTTGTCAGCCCTTCCGTCAAATTTATTTTTTTCCCAATAAATGAAGCTTAATTAACCTTTTCTTTGTTTAAAATTTTCAGTTGTATAAATAAAACTGACTTTACAAAAGAAAAAAATGTAAACAGAAATCCAGCAAAAACCTTCATTCCTTATAAAAATAATCTTTCCAAGCAACAATTATGAAATCTTACAATAAGATAGGACTTATTTTTTATCGAATACTGTTATTAAGGACTTATACATTAGAAGAACACAAATAAAACCTAAACATTTAATAAATAACTGACATAAACTGATTTTAGTTGTACATTCACATAGCTTACAGCAAACCATGAATGCACTGTTAAAAGGTCTAATTTAAGAGACCCATAACCCTATGATAAAAAAAAAAGCTAATAGCTTAATTTACTTTGGCTCCAGTGTAATTAATAGACATAATTTACCATTGCTTGGACGCTGCCGTGTGTATGCAGAACCCCTTTGGGTCGCCCTGTTGTTCCACTGGTGTAGATGATCATAGCTGGTAGATCAGCCCAGTCTGTGATGGCTGTCTCCTTCTCCTGTGCGTCTTCCTCACATAAAGCATCCAGGTCAGAAGTAGGGGGCAGCTTCAGACACGGCAGCCCGAGCTTCTGTGCCAGAGGTTCGAGGGTTTCAGTGTAGGGGTCCGCTGCCAGTAGCAGCGAAGTCTGGGAATCAGAAATGATGTACTCCAGTTCTGCCGGTGGGTGTTTTCGGTAGAGTGGCACCGCCGTCCCACCACTCATCCAAGTGGCCCACTGTGCTACTGTATAGGAGGCGTCATTAGCACACAGGAAGGAGACGCGTTTTCCTTCCAGACCTCCAAAGTCTGAGTTCAGAGCTGTACCGATTCTATTTGCAAGACCTAAACTGCGGCAGTACAGCTGCTTGTAGCTGTGGCTACCACTGCTGTCTATGACTGCAAGCTTTTCTCCATACACTGGAGCTCTGGCAAACACCGGCTTCTGGTTTAGCCTTGATGAAGGTGCTGTAGTCCAGCTATGAGCCTTTCTCAGACCTGCCTGTCTTAAAATCCATTGCCCTGGCTCCAATGGACAATAAGTTAAGGAAAAGGCAGGTTTCCAGTGAGGCAAAGTCCACTTCAAATAGTGGCAAGTAGCGGTTATACATCCTGGCAGCATGTTTGACTTTTAGTTGTTTATACGCTCCACAGTTAGAAGCTCATTACGGCTCCATCGTCAGTATCTTATCTGCTCATAGTGAATATCTGTGGGTTGAAGTGAAAAACATTTGCGCTTAGTTTGATGAAGCAACACACAAAGTCATAAAGCCAATTAACTTTGATCACCAGGGATTCTGTGACAATTAACCATCTGATTAACCACTAGTTTTGGGTTTTTGTAGATTTGCTGGTTGATGGTTACGAATACAAAACAAGCGCACTGATGTGGTCAGCTTGATAAAATAAATAACTGTTTAATTAAGGAACAAAGAAGATGATCTGGTTCCACCAGTGTTTGAATTTTTCATATATTATTCCCAAAATAATTACAGGAATCACTCAGATACAGACAGTCACTGGCTGAATTACATCAGTACTACTGAGCACCGTTTCACTCAGTGCCAAAGTTTGGTAGCAGAACACATCTGGGATAGAGGAAGAAAGGGAGTGAGACCATGTGGCATCACTCAAAAAACACACAGGACTTTAGCACATCTGTCACCAGCGTATAAGAAATTGAACCCGTGAATGATGATAATGAAATTTTTAGTGAGACATCGACATTTTCTTCAGATCATTAATTAGGCAGTTGGATCGGTTGTTGTCAGAGAAACGGGCCTTCTTTCACTGTGTTGGCTGACATTTTAACGTGGCATTTTTACACTGGCTGCACTGAGATTTCTTATCAGCCTGGTATTTACAGTAAACAAGCACGCTGTGTTAGATAGTGCGTCTGCAACCTTAGTATCTAAGCATAGACAATGCTATTTAATATTGCAGCGTGCAAGAGCTGTGACAGTGACATCAGCCTCAGACACTATCAGACAGTTTCAAATGGTGTTGGTTTGACGTGTAAAATGTTGTGAATAAATAAGAAAATGCTTTAACTGAGAAGTTTTGACCCATTTTGTGAGATACATTTTTGAATGTATTATTTCAAAATAAGTAGAGTCCTGAAAAACACGCTGTGAAACCGCAGACGCTGGACAATTTCAAATACCTGAGGCTAGTAACACAACCACTCTTATAAAAAAGCTCTGAATGGCTTTTGACCTGAGGCCTTTAATCCTCAGGGACTTGTACTGGGACACCACTCAGAGCTTTCTGACAGGTTGCTTCACCACATGGTAGAGCAGTAACAGCAGGGACTATAACATCCAAGAAAGGGTGGTGGCAATGCAAAAAATATAACTCATAAAGGATCAATCTCATTCACACGGCAGTCTGAGACAAACACACAATGAACATTAACCTTTGTACTCTATATAGTTAATGATTTATGGGTCAATCCATGTCAGCTGACCAAATACTTTAAACTACAAGAATATACACTCTGGGATCATGAATGCTGTCTGAACATATGAATTAAACTAATATTAAACTAAACATATGACTCCTTCTAAAAATTATTTATGGGAAGGGGGGCTGAACACCACCACAAGTTTTAGACTACAAGACAAAAGCCTTTCTAGATTTTTTTAGGTGGTTTTATATTTTTGGAATATCACAATAACTTGTTTTTTGTCATAAAAACAAGAAAACATGACGAAAAATATATTATTATTAAACAGGCAATACAAAACCAATTCATGTTTTCCTATGAGCCAAGTCAGAGAAATTATGGAACATTCACACACTAAAACTACTTTTTTTTATTTAAGGAATGCAAATAAATAACAACTACAACTGGAATTGAAAATAACAATATTTTTTTCTATAAAACTATGGTTGAGAATTCATCAACAATAATGACATATTAGCATAAAGAACTGATTTTGATTTGATCTTCAAGAAATTATGATTTGAATAGTTTCATGGTACAGAGTACACCTCATATGTGGAAATCAGTGTTCCCAATTTCAAGGCCTGGGTGTTTTATATTGACCTTTGCTACAGATTTCACAGATTTCCATCACAGTAACGGATATTTACCCGAATACTTAAAGTTACTCAAGGAATTCTCTAGATGCATCTATTTGAAATGGCTCCAACTGGTAGAAAGAAAAAGCTTGAAAATGCCCCTGACTTCAACAGAAATGACTTCTCCAGGCTGGGGATTTTTCTAAAATTCTGAAAAATCGGTCAATTAAGCTTTCACTGTTATAGTAGTTACTTAACATATATTGCGCTATTATTGTAAACATTATTTTAATCAATGATTAACAACATCGTGACTCTTTAATAGCATTAACATCTTTCAGTCACTTGTCGACTTAAACAGCTTTAAACAGCAACACCGTGAAGTTACAGGAGGACGGACGATGATGAGGATGACCACCGACCGAAATAACCTCTTCATCTTAACGCCACTGTGTTCAGTCCAGGTGACTCTGACCGTCTCTGACTTTCACTTTATTCAGCGAGGACAGGTGACCGGACATCAGCCATGACATGAACGGTACACCTCCGCGTTTGACGGCTACAAACACAACGATATCTCGTAAAATAACACCCAGTTTCACTGTCTACACCTTTCTCTATTAACTATTTCACTTTCACCTTACCTACAATAATAGTCGGCATTTCTTGGAGTGAAGGACAGTGCCACAACATTAAGCGTCCGGTTTGAAACAATAGTGGTTTAAACAGTTCCCGTCTCGTAAGTACACAGCACAAAGCCAGTTTCTGCAGGGTGGTTCACACTTTAAATACGCAGGTTTAATAACCCTTGAACAATGTTTTAAATGATTTTTAATGATCTTACTTTATTAGTCTACAAAATAAAAACTTACATAAAATAAAATGACAATCACACATTCAAAGCATGTCTGGATATAGCAACGCAAAACCTATGATCTTGTCTCTGCCTATCACTGTACTGCTGCTTTAAAACTCAATTAATTTTCCTATTTTGATGATTAAAGGGGCAAAACAATAATAAGAAATGAGTTAAATATCAGGCCAACAAAAAGATAGTTTCAGATAACTAAATCCTTAATTATAAACAAACTAGCATGAGCTGTGTTTTTCTGTCATCCCGTGGTTATTAACTCAGCTTGGCAGTTGTTGGCATAACCTCCACCCACTTTACTGAGGACCTGCAGATCCAGTGGAGAAGCTGCTCACCAGAGAGGAGGACACGGGAGGGGAGAGCGGGACGTATACGCAGCCGCTCCACACAGTGCTGTGTTTTAGATCACGTGCCAGTCCCACCACGCAGTGTGCCAACTAGCTTGGCTGGCTTCATCATCACAGTGCAAGTGGGCACATTCAGCCGCCAGCTGGCAGTCGCGGGCCTCAGATAAGAGAATGGTACAGACATGGCACACGTTCAAAAAGTTTTCACTTCCCTCCCCAAACCCCCTACACTGCAAACGAGGATGGCATGTTCCTAAAAACTGGAGCCTTTGTTTCTCAGTGCTCCCCTCCACTCTCAGGAATAGTGGCAAAGACCACTCATTCCCATTCGCAGGGAAAATGCTATTGAAGGGAATGCTATGCTACCCCAGCAACTATGTAATTTCCAGAGAATCCTTTATTTGTAGGGAATTTGGAGTCTTCAGTGTTTTTCTGACGCAGATGGTGCTGCCAGATTTTCGAAGGATTCAACTCAAAAATGACCGAATGTCATCTCTGATGTAACGAAATAAGGCGCAGAAGACCCGTGTTTTTGGATTTGTTTCCTGGAAGTTGGCCATGTCTTCGACGTGCGTTATGTGGGGACGGGAATCTGAGCCAGAGATTTATTTACAGCTACTTGTGACATGCAGGGATGGATGAACAGGGGAGGATAATAAAGACACGCTTGTCATGTAAGGACGAGACACGGCTATCGCAAGGAGTTACGGTTTTGGCTACATTGCGAAAAACGAGGGTTAGATGCAGTATATAGTAAGCAGAGGCTGGCATTCTGCTGTGGTGGCCTCCTGCCAGCGCGCCATTCAAAAAAGAACACCTTAAAGGATCTCGCCACTGATGGGCAGGATGGCCGCAAGCAGGCGCCAACTCTCATCTTGGCAAGGGACGGCATCAGAGGAAAAGAGAAAAGAGGGGACCCCCCACAGATCTGTGAGAGTGGCTGAGATGGTAACACAAACCGTGGGGAGTACCCAGGCATGTGTCAGGTTGGCATCAATGTGAGAATGTCTTGGCAAGCATGCCGTTCTTTCCCCTCCCACCCCAGCTCTCACACAAACACACTGTTGCCCTGCTTGGAACACATGGTACATCAGCAGCGGCATCTGGCCACGCTGACTCCTGGCAGCTGCGCTTCGTCTTCGCCAGTTGGGAGTCTTGGCACTGCCACTTCATCAACTACCTGTGGCTCCTCCTGGGTAAAAAAGGCGAGCGATGAATTATTCCGAGGCTGCAGCTGCAAACTTGACTTTCATCCAAGAGATTGGATGTAAACATATGACTGCCTCACGGAGCACATGCCACCCACATGCTAATGCACGGTTGACGACGTTGCTTGTGTCCTGCGCAAAGGGACATGGGTGTCCTTGCGCGATGGTGCGGTTCACTTTAAGGGAAAGTTAAAGGCTTGTGATAGAAGCAGCAGATGCAACTGGAAGCTTTTGCTTGACAAAAACAGATTTGAAAGCTTCAAAATAAGAAAAACCAAATTGAGAAAAAGACACGTTTAAGAGGCAGCGACACAGCTTTCTGAAGGACATAGGAATTTGAGCTTAGGGATCTTCATACAGCGGCATCAGTATGTCTTATTGTGTTGGGAAATAGCGTTGAATAGGCAAATCGAAAAGCCAAGGATTACTCTGAAAGGAATCTCACTACCATTTTGATAATGAACAAATGGACCTTTCAACTCTACAATTACCGCCTCACATTCCAGTTCTAATGGAGGTTTTGACAACTGAGGGCATTTATCTGAGGTTTTTTGAATTCATTTCAGCTGTGACATCATGGATTGATGGCAAAGGTTAGGAAGATTACCTCCAAATGGAAGAAGAATTTTCGATAAAATCTTTGGGAGATGTGATCATAAAGCCGATAGACAGTATTCCCTGATGTTAATTTGTTTAAAGCTCTGTAGTTTTTTTTAAACTCTTGTCACAAATCATATCGTCTGCTGTTTCATAGCTGAGCTGCATTTAATGCCAGCTCTTCTCCATCATTCCAGAAAGGTTTGGGGGATTTCCTGAACTCTCAATTGATTTTTCTTGCGCTGAACACCTCGTGGCAAAAACCCAAATGTTTCAGTTTATCCCAAATGTCAGCTCTTCTTCCATCCAAGGCTGTTAGCAGTGATCCAAAAAGAAGAAGAAAAAAAAAATTACATTGTGTTTACAACGAGCCTTGTTGAGTTTTAATGACATTATGGGCACCCAGTCAAGTTATCGATCACATATTTTTTGTTTATGTTTATACATTAGGTAAAGTGAAGGCAGGCAGAGAAGGGAAGAGACATTAAGACGGCAAAAGGCCAAATGAAACACGAGGAATTCTTGCTATCCCCTCGCTTTCTGCAGAGTTCATGTTCTTCTCTCGGCTACTCGAGAACTGCCTGACCCAATTTGAATTCAAAACTTGTTGTGTTAGTATTTTTTCATCCTTGTTTCGAGAGCAACGTTGTTGGCAAGCTGTTAAAATCTGTCAAAAGTTGAATAAATCACTCACTTGAACACATACAAACACACACACACACACACACACACACACACACACACACACATTCTCACTTTTTTTTCTGTGGGTGTTAGTCATCTGACAGTGACCCAGTGGGAGT